TCCTACTCCTCCTACTGCTCCTGGGCGGGTGTTGGACGAGGCCCGAGTTGTCCCTCCACCTCAGATTGGATTTGAACTCGCGACCTTCCAATCGCGAGTCACGTGCGCTGCGCTCATCCCCCTCCACCGCCTCCCCCCCCCCCCATCATCCCGGATGCGGCGGATACTACATATGTGCCATATTTTTTTCCCCCTCTCCCGACAGTTTTACTGCTGTCAGCAACCTCGGCATAATTACACGTGGATTTACGTGCGCGCTGTTGGCGTGTGGGCGCGCGCCGCACTGCGAGCGCTCCAGATGCACATAAATAGCCGCTCCCCCCCCTCGCCCTCTACCCCCTCACCTCCCCCTCCCCCCCCCACACACATGGCTGGCGGTGCCGTGAACCCGCGGTCCCTGAAAATAGCGACCTCGTGTTCTGTGACATTACAGGTCTATTTTTTAGCTCGCGATGACAGCTGCGCACATTTTTGTGTGTCGCGCATCTTATGCGCGTTGCTAAAAATGACTTCTGGGCATATTTGCGACGGCGCTATTTGCGTGTCGAGGTTAAATGAATGTGGAGCCATATTTAATACGGGGCCAAGGCATTGGTCAGTCGACGTTTCTGTATTACGTCGTGTGTAACAATAATAGTAATAATTTATAGCCCGCTGTCAATCCACTGCTCGGTGGACGGTCCCTCAACGTCATGTCGCTGGTGGGGGTTGGTTTGACGGAAACTTCACCACGCTGGTCGGTGAAATGAGGGTGTCAACCCGTCGCTGAGGTTGGTGTCCTCATGTTGCTGTGCCCTAACCACTGCGCCGCTACTCGGCAATACACGAATAGATCATGTATGTTTCAACAGGAAAGCCTCGCCGAGTCTCTTAGACTCTCTTTCATGCGGGTGTTGTGTGTCTAGGCATCTCTAGCCAGTTCTGTTTTACCATTCGTCCGGACAAGATGGCACCACGAGATGAATTTCACTGTGACACCCATGTACGCACGTCCATGTACGTTGCATTCTTTTTGGCACCGTATGTAGCCAACTGTGCTAACCCGGAGGCGCACGGACAATATCTCGACGACAAAAAACTATCATTCAAAACCAGACACCGCCGTCCCTGACGCATTAGCAACTCAATGTCCGTGGCCTCCCCCCAAGTTTCGGGCATTATTATTGTAACAGTGATTCAACCCATGGAACGCCTGTGGTCAAGGTAAGCGCGTGAGCGAACGTAGAGTGTTAATTTTTGTTGGTGCAGTCTACGGATAAACGGACCGAGGCCCCGTCGCCCCCCAGTGGCTGCTCACGCGACAGCGTTTTAACGAGCGTCCGTGACCAGGAACTCGGAGGCTGGGTCCTTGACCGGGCGATGGCGACGGCTGCCTGCCGTCCCAAGCGTGCAGTTGTTCCCGGGCCCCGCCGTGTCTCCCGCGTTTTTCTCCCCTTTTATTTGTCACTCTCGCCCTCTTCCCGTCGCCGCTCGGTCACGGGGGAAGCCGGCGGTCAAAGTGAGACGTCACCCCTGATGCCACCGCGCGCCCACATTTTTCACCGGGGCCTCACCGCCACCGTTCTACAACTGCCCAATTCGCACCGCGACCCCCTTCGCCGTGCTATTTTACATGGCGCGGCACGGCGCGGCACAGCGCTCTTTTGAAGAGTTGGTTGCCCTTCGCCGGAACGCTTTCTCGTGAGAGCGCCTCGCGTAGACTCGTCACGGCGTGCACGAGAGTCACTTTACTGCTGCTGTTTAAAACTATTTTTTATTTGACCAGGGTAAGGCCCACTGACCTATATAGCTCTTTTTCAAAAGCGACCTGTCACAAATAATAGCTCAGCGTCGTGGGCTTATCATCGCGTGGAAATGTATCGCAGCCAAGTACTCTGAACGCACGCTGTTGATTATAAAACGTGGAGGGAAAAACTGGAGCACCCGGAGTAAAATCCACGTGACCACGGGGGAGAGAGAGAGAGAGACATGCAGACTCCAAATATTACAGGCGTCAGGGTCGGGATTGAACCCACGACCTCCCGTATACCAGGCGTGGGAGTTAACATCTCACCACCGCGCACCCTCATATGGTGAGCGTGTACGCCGGTGTATGCTCTACCGCCATTGTATTCCCGCCGTGCGATTGGGCGGCGCAGTGAGCTGTGCGCCACCGAACGGCATCGGCGGGTATCGTAAAACTACCGTGGAAAGTTATTTCGGTCGGCCTCTTATTCACACGCCAGGAACACAACACGTTGTTCGCGCCATGTTGTTGAGGGGCTACTGCCGCTGTGTGGCGTTATCTTGGTGTGGTCTGGCACTGTTTCGTTGTCGCTTACGCTGCCTTGCACAAGCTTGATATATATATAGACTAGCTTGACTACCCGGCTTCGCCCGGGACTTGGATTCACCACGCCCGGCCGCCTTTGTCTCCCCAGTGGCGATGTTCACACACCACACCAGTTAATTGTTTGAGGCTGAGTGGACCTAGGGGAGGCCCAGGAGCGGTTAAAATAATCGTTACGCTTCCACATGCGCGGGTCACGTGACGGATTTGACGTCACAGCTCACTTGCCGTGCAAAAAATCTATGCATTATTGAGCTCCCCCCCCCCCCCAAAAAAGTGTGTTTTTATAATTTTTGCATGGTGTATAGTCTGGAAAGTACCCACATGGCAAATTTAAAGTTTGTTGCATGTCGGGAAGTACGCTAAACATTTTGAACAGACACACATAATCACAACTTTGCCTTTTATATATATGGAGACATATCTATATATTTTTTTTGCTTGACTTGCTACCCTTTTGATCTATTTTGCACTCCCGTCGTCGATTTTTATATTTCTCACTGTTGTTACTTGCCGACCCCCCCCCCCTCCTCCCCCCTCTCCGGGCCCCTCCTGGAGATATCTACGGAAAAACAAAGAGCCTCATGGCTCACCGGATTCCTCCTCCTGCAATCTCAATAAAGAGTGTGATTACGAGATCCTGAACGGGCATGGGAAACCGGTGCGCGGTCGACTTGGCGGCGTTGGCGGCGGCGGCGGCGGCGGCGGCGAACGCGGCGGCGAACGCCATCTAAAATAACACGGCCGCGGTGGTCGAGCTGCCCGTCGAGATTGCGAGAATGTGACGCTCTCAGTGTGGGGGACGCCACGTGACACGAAATGCACGGGCGGGAGGAGTCATAGAGTTGTCACGGTCACGCTTTTTTGCTGCCTGTAAATCACCTCTCGTGTGTGGTAGTCTTATTATTTGTTTCTGGACGACCTGCAACTTTCCGTAATTGTTTTTTTTGTGCGCGTGTGTTCCCGTCGTTCACAAGAGGGTGTTTGAATTGGGTTGAGATCGGTTACGTCAATTGCCACCGATGATTTTCCTTTCTTTTTATATATATGAGAGAAAAAAAATCTCGCTTCTGGAATTTGCCAAAGTAAAGCGACTTAACAAAAGTTATTACGATCATATATTTTTTTTGGGGGGTGCGGGGGGGGGGGGTTGTGCAGTGGTTGGTGACTAAGCTGAGCCCGTAAAACTCGCTTCACTTCAGAACGCCATTAAATCATGTGCTGGTGGCCGGAAATCCAACCCGGGATCTCGGCAGTGCCAGCTAAATTCTCCCGATGCACTATTTATTATCCCTCCTGAGTAACCTGGCCACCTCTGAATATGAATACCGTGTTATAAAACTGTGTTAATCTCAGGTCTCTTTTTGTTTTTGTGTTGCTTGGAGATGCAATAGCCGTAGCACTTTTGATATTGCCCACGGCTGCATCTTAACGCTACAAGCCTGATCACTGGCGCAAAATTCCTGTGCACAGCCAGCAGCCTGTTCTTGCCAATGTGGAACACGGCCGCTCGACAGTTTTTATTTGAGGATCCAAAGTTCGAGTTTCACGTTCATTTTGTTTTAAGGAGGCGAGAGCTCCCCAAGAGAGGAGGATGAGTCTCATTGGCGAGAGTGACCTCTGGGCGCATTAGTCCGCCAGTATGGGGCGATGGTTGCAATGTATGACCCCGATTGAGTTGTTTGGGGGGGGTATTTAATGCCAGCACACAATGGGCCAATGAGGTCCGGGGGATCTTTGATGATCACTTTGAAGCGGGCGACGCGTCGTATTTTTCGCGCAGTATTAATCAGGGCGGCCCCTGGGTTCGAACCGTGAACCCTCTGCAACAAGCGTGGTTGAGGGCGCTTGCGTTAGGCCGTGTCGCCATCCCGAGGCCAGTTGGTTTCAAGGGCGATGCGTAATATTATCAGAGCATGTTTTATTTGGCATATTTTGCCACAAGTACTTGTGGTTAATGCAGACTTTATTTTTTTGCAAAATGTATCTATTTGGTGTTTGAGCATCTTAACACGACTCCTGTTTTTAGCCAGGAAGGGTAAAACCTCTTCTGATTTTTCGTGTTCCTTCATGATTTTTGAAACTGGACAAAAGGTCCCACAGATATCCACGACGTCGTCCACGACGACATCTAAATAAGAACTCGACAACCACGGCTGACTTGTGCAGCGCCACCACACTTGGGCCGTCGTTGCTCACTGGCCAACACCGGTGACGATTATCTGAACCGGTCCTGGGCCCTCCCCTAGGTCGACTCGGCCTCAAATGAGTACCTGGTGCGGTGTGTCGTAAATATCGCCATTAGGTGAGACAAAGGCGGCCGGGCGTGGTTGCTGGCCACCCACCCCCTCGTGTGCCGTGCCGGCCTTCATTAAGTGCTACTCGCTAACAGCACTTGCCCCTACAGTCTGTGAAGGCTACACGGGGGATCTTTGTGTTTTTTTGTACGTGTGAAAAGCTCGTGTAGTGCTTCATGTGTGATGTAAAAGTGTACTGTATATTATGTATATACTGTAATGTATGGAAACAGGCTTATCAGAGGGGGGGGTGGGTGGTCTTTATCTTTATGCATGTTAAACTGCTTTGGCGCCGTACGTAGCCAACCGTGCTAATCGTAGGTGCGGTGTGGTGTGTGGTGTGTGTGTGTGTGTTTGTGCCATCCGTTCCACAGCTTCGGCGCTGGCGACACAGGCACTCGACTCGTACCAGGCAGGAGCGAGCCCCATCATATAGCGACGCGGCACCATCGTCCGGGGGTAACGAGCACTCTGGTTCACCTTGTTCTTGCGTGAATAGCGCGTCGCTGCCGTGCCTTCAACTGCACGGGACGACGACGCTTCCGCCGCCACAGTCGTTTGTTGCCCTTCCCCCCCCGCCCCCGCCGACCCCCCCCCTGCACCACCGATTGGCGCGGTCGGCTGCGTGTACGTTTGAGAAAGAAGTTCAACATCGTGCGTGCGTGCGTGCGTTCGTTCGTCTCGTCTCGTAAACTTGACGCTCGCGCTCGGGGTTAGTTGCATTTAGGAACGTGGCAAAATATTTTTGCCTTAACGGTTTGAATGGGTGCCACTCAACGAATGGGGCCATTCAGATGTGACAAAATTAATACCACGTAAAGCCCATTGAGCTATACAGCTCTTTTTCAGAAGCAACCTGGCTATCACAAATGATAGCTCAACGAAGTGGCCGATCACGTGGACATTTATAGCCGCCAAAATACTCTAAATGCATGACCTTGATTCCGAATGTGGAAGGGAAAACCGGAGGACCCTTAGAAAAATCCACGCGACCACAGATATTTATACAGGCGCCAGGGTCGGGATTGAAGCCCTGATCTCCTGTATACCAGGCGACGTAGATAACATCTCAAATGTTGACTCCAAATTGTAACAGTTCATTGAATCATTGGGGGGAGGTTGGGAGGTGGGGCAGGGAAGTGAATCATGACACACCAATTTATTTGTTTACTCTTATACATGCCATTTGTGCTTTCGGCATCATTCAATGAGACAAATATATTTAAATTTAAAACTCTAGCAGCGAGCAGTGGCACCACCTATAATGAGTAAACAGCGACGTCCCAGAACTATTTTATGAATTAACGTTAATATTCCCTTTACATGAGGGGCATACTTTCGGCAGATGATCATTATTTCTTTTCTTTTTAATACAATACAATCATAAAAATATTTACGTGTTTTACTTTGGAGGTTAAATTTTCAGAAATCGCTGCACCCAGAAGCCACAGCATCTGCCATCACAGCCACGCGGTGATTGGCCGAAAAGCGGTCCCTTGTGACACAATTTCGGCCAATGATAGAACAGCTGCGCAAGCACTGAACTTCAAACGGGCCCCGCTCTGCTTTGCGTCAGTGAAGGCCAGAAATTGGCGAAGGAAATCCCTGGACAGCTGAGTGAAGATTGTCGCTCGGACAACTGCACAGACAAAGGGCAAATATAATGGTAGCGTAGAGACGCCAAGAGTGACACTCAACAGATGGGTGGCTGCACGACAAAAAAAAACAGAGGGATTTGATTAATCTATTGTTTTAAACTTCTGCCCTGCTTTGTAAAGCAGTAATTATCGCAGCAGTGTATTCTCATTTTCAACTTGACAATCGAACCACAGCGTTGAGGTTCGTCATAAACAAATGGTAAATTACACTTCGTCCTATATGCCAGGTCTACCGGTTGTCGTCGCCTCGCTGAACCCTCTTACCCGGCTCTCAACTCACGACGGTGAAGGGTTGTCGTGCCCTCGTCCAGGAGTACGTTGCGCATGTTGGTCGTGAGCAGGAATCGAACTGGGGTCCGCGGGGTTCGTAGCGCAGCGCGCTAACCGCTGCGCCGCCGCTCCCCAGTGCGGTATTGACGAGCCCTCTGCTGTACGCGTTGCCATGAACGGAGCCACACATCACACCTCCTTGGACATTTCCACCACACCTCCGATTAGCGCGGCGCTAATCGAAGGTGCAGGCGGAAGGAAAACAAACTGAACACAAACAGCAGTTCTAAACAGGCAGTGGCTTCTTAATATCGGAAAGAAGAGACCCATAGAGATTCATAAGAGACCCGTATAGATTTATAAGAGACCCATACCCATGTGTATATTGAACTTTCGCACCATACGTAGCCAACCGTGCTAAGCGGAGGTGCGGGGGGAAGGGCAACGAACTAACAAACAAAAATCAGTTCTAAAGAAATGAGCTAAAAGCCAGCTGGTGGTGGGACACTGCAAACATGGATCTTGGTGCTCAGGTGGCAACGTTGCAACGACAGCTGCAAGCGGTCACCACATCATTGGCAGCGATGGACTGGTTCACCTTGACCTGTGCCTGTACTGCCACCAACGCCGTTTGGTCATTGTTCTCTCGGCTTCGGGGGACACACGGCAATGCCGCGTAGAGTGGGTAAAGGCTTACTGACAGGAGGTCATGGGACAGAACCAAAGTAGTGTGGCTGACGGACAGGAATGGCCAGCATCCAGCCATGTGTACACTCCACACGAAGACAAAGATCCCCCGTGTAGCCTTAGCGGACTTGGGGCAAGTGATGTTCGCGAGTGCCCTATGAAGGCCTGTACGGCACACAAGTCGGTGTGAGTGGCCAGCAACCACGCCCGGCCGCCTTTGTATCCCCTAATGGCGATGTTTACGATACACCGCACCAGGTACTCATTTGAGGCCGAGTCGACCTAGGGGAGGGCCCAGGACCGGTTCACATAATCGTCACCGGTGTTGGCCGTGAGCGGCGATCAAACTCTGGTCGCCGGGTTCGTAGCGCAGCGCGCTAACCGCGACACTACCGCTCCCCACTGTGTACACTCTGCACACGCACACACACGCACATGTATACAAATTCCAACCACCAAAATCGCATGCATATACTCGGGCACATGTGCACAGATGCACTACACACGCGCGCACACTTAGCACGGACTTTTAATTTAGGGTGCATCGGTATGGCAACGGAAAACAAAACAGCGAAGAGCTACGCCCCTCTAATCAGGGTGTCACTGCTCCCCATCGAGGGTGCCCCCCCCCCTGTCTCTCCCCCTACCCTTCTAATGCACACAGCTGTTGATTATAATTAGGGTGCCCCTTGTGATGTTGTTATACATAGCAAAGTGGTGCTCACCACAACATCCCACTTAAAGCAGCCTGGCAACATGAGAGGAATGGGGTGAGGGGGTGGCTGTTGGTCCTTTGCGGCAGCGGTGGTGGCAGCGGTAGCGGTGGACAGGAGCACATGATCTGGTGTTGATGGCATGCAATGTACGTGTATGCTGAACTTCATTCACACCCTATGTAGCTAACTGTGCTAATCGGAGGTGCGGGGGAAGGACAACAAACTAAGGACAAAAAGCAGTTCTGCAGAAATGAGTTTTCAATCTAGATTTAAAAGTGCATAGCTCCAGTGGCTTCCTAATATCGGAAGGGAAGAGCGTTCCAGACGGCCGCAGAAGCAGCGTCTGAATACGCGCGATGCGGCGACCGTCTGTGTTCAGTGGCTGAGCCAAAAGCCGCCGCTGCGAGAATGATGACCGGAGTTTGCGTGGCCATGGGTCATGCTCCTCTTATATGACGTCGTATCGACATCGTAGAGGTGCAGATGGGTGACTCGTGGTGGACCTTGAGATGATTGAGCCACTCCCCCCGTTGGTCTTTGAGACGTCACGTTGTCCCCGGGAATGTAAATAGAAGGGGAATTTCTTCTGTCACTCGAAGCTGCCGTGCCTGACTCGGAGAAGAGTCATCCGCAATTTTCACACAATCTCCACACGTGTCCCCCCCCCCCCCCCCACTTGATCTAGGCAGCATGTAAGGGCTAAAATATATAGATATTGTGCAGTGATAGATGCAAGGAGGTGGTAACCCAGACCATGTAAATTCTATTGATGTTTCCCAAATAAAATACATTGAATGTTATAATTATTGATGTAGGACCCTATTTAGAAAAAGCTTGAAATATCGGAACTGCCGTCACCCCATCGCCCTTGGGAAGTTTCTAGATCTGGCTATTGAGATTGTATCCATATATCAAATTATTGGTTTACAACGATCCACGCTATTGTTTCTACCCTGCAGGTCTTGTCTCTCTCCGCTGGTAGCTGGCTAAGTAAACCCCCTTCCTAAGTCTCACACTCTATACATTCTGCCACCTCTTTTGGCCTTCCTTCGTGCAAAATGGTCGCCCTTTACCCTTCGTGCCCTGGCAGCACGATAAGAGTTGTTGTTGTTACCTCGATCGTTGCACTTAACCCCTTACCCCGGTCCGAGACGTCTGCAAGTTGCAGTGTGTGGGGTGTCCCGTTCACCGCTGAATCTCGGAACGCGCAAACGCCTCGGCGTTCATTTTTAATTCAAGAGGCGTAAAGATGTACTCGCCGCAGAGAACCGTAGCGGACACGACCGCAGCTCTACGATAGCTGGCGCCAAGCTGTGCCACACGCCGTCGCGCATGGCCTTGTGGGGGAGCCTTCTCATCTGTACGTTCGTCGGAAGAAAGACCGGTGACGTGCACATGACGTACGTACGTCATCGGAACGGGAAAGGGGGTGAAGAGACATTGGCGTGCTTTCCCTCCACGGCACAGTGCGGCGAGATGAAGGTGTCACGCTGTCTCAGTCCCCTGGCATGGCGGCAAAGTATTTACCGCTGCCAAAACCGGTCGGGATAATAAGCGAGGCTAAAATGAAGCCGGTATTGCCCGCTTATGTAGCGCACAGAAGCACATTTCGTCATGTATTTAGATAGCATTAAATTACAATCATTATTACTATTGACTCTTCTGAACTCCCAGAAGGCCATGTGGCTGATGGGTTGTGTAAGAAACACGGATTATATGTGCAGGAGACCTTGCCGTCTTATTTATTATATTATTCATGTGATTATCTCCATATATATAAAAGGCAAAGTTGTGAATGTGTGTCTGTTCAAAATGTTTAGCGTACTTCCCGACATGCAACAAACTGGAAATTTGCCATGTGGGTACTTTCCAGACTGTACACCATGCAAACATAAAAATACACTTTTGTTTTTTTTTGGGGGGGGGGAGCTCAATAATGCATTTATTTTTTGCACGGCAAGTGAGCTGTGACATCAAATCTGTCATGTGACCCGCGCATGTGGAAGCGTAACGCATTGTAGTGTAGCGGTTAGCACACCACGCTACGAACCCGTCGACCCGAGTTCGATTCCCACTCACGGCCACCACCGGTGACGATTATTTGAACCGGTCCTGGGCCTCCCCTAGGTCGGCTCAGCCTCAAACGAGTAACTGCTGTGGTTTATGAACATCGCCACTGGGGAGACAAAGGCGGCCGGGCGTGGTGGATCCAAGTCCCGGGCGAAGCCGGGTAGTACAGCTAGTCTAACATAAAAAAAAAGTATTATGTTTAATCTATTAGGAGGCCGAGCAGATGCCTTTTCTTGCCTAGTTCCTCTGCCAGGCTCCCTGGGCCAGGCCAACCAGTCGAGGAGGAGGAGGTGGAGGTTGCGTCGTTGAGTTTAAGGGTTGCACAAACAGAAGAAACTTAAGTTACTAACATGGGGCGCTGGATAACGTTTGGAGAATCCGACAGAGGTGCATGCGGGAAAGTCGCTCCAGTCAACTTTAGCGGTAGATTTCCTCCATTGAGTCATGAAGGCTCAAAGTTAGAATCCCAGCTGTGGAAGCTTATTTGTATCTTTTTAATATTTTCCTCAATAAAAAAAAAGCTTGCTTTATTTTCAGAACTAACATTTTACTGTTGAGAAATACATAAAAGTCAATACGGGTTCATTTATTTAAATTTATTTTCTCTGCGATTATTTTTTCTTACGTGAATTTATTTTCTCGTTATTTATGTAATCTTTTTGCTAAGTAGTGGGGTTTTATTTTTGTACTTTTTGTACGGAACTGGATAATTCTGTGCAGCGTTGTGGGATGCAGTTGCATGAATGACGCTATATAAAATGCAATTATTAACCCCCAAGCTGGTATTTTGACTTTCATGATGCAAAAAATGACGTATAATATATTGTGCTTTACTGAGACTATAGCGGTACGATCACTGGCATAGTTGCACGTAACTGCCTTAACCATGCAGTAAATGTTTATATTACTCACGTTTATGTTATTTAAATAGCTGCGTACACTACATGTTGTTGTCAAGTCTTGAAGTATTGCCTTCATGAATTGGCTGTAGTCATAAGAATCCTATCTGGATCAACACATTTGTGATCGGACTCTGCTGATAAGCCGCTGGGTTGCAAAAGAAGGGCGCATCGAACCGAGGGGTTGCCTAATTTTCTTCCCACTGTGGAAGCAAACCCCAGACGCGGTTCTCAGTCGGCACTCGGGGTATGTTATCAAAACTCCGTAGCATAACCGAAATAAAGTTCAACGCAACACCGGCCGGCCGGTACCAGGCCTCGGTCACAATGGTCACTGCGTTTGCGGCGCTTTCTGATGCGCTTCTGCGGCTGTCTGGAGCGCGCTCTTCCTTCCGATATTGGTGAAGCCGCCGGGAGCTACGTGCTTTTAAATCGTCTCGATTGAAAACTCGTTCCTTTAAAACTGATGTTTGTGTTTAGTTTGTTGTCCTCCCCCCCCCCCCCACCACCCCGCACCTACAATTAGCACGGTTTGGCTACATACAGTGGAAAAGAAGTTCAACATGCATACATTAATCCCCCCCCCCCACTTTGCGCAAGAAGGGCTCACAAGTGACGTAATCACATCTACCCCTCTATTTAAGGAACGATAAAGAAGGATTTCTCCACAAAATGTGTCTGTCGCCTGATGAGGCTGGTTGTAATTACTGGCTAAAACGGCGTACTCAGATTGTAAATGTTGTGGCTTGGCTCTCCAACACACCGCTGTGCTGTACTTGTGACGAATTGGCCACGTTCTGTTTACGTGACAACCCTTACTAGTTGGCTGTGTCGGGTGGTGGCGGGTTTAACAACACATTTGTATATTTAAGTGATCTAATCCAAAAAAAAACTCTATTATGGATATACAATTCAGTTCCTGCCACCCGAACACGGATGCTAATTGCCGAACTGTCCGGGTCAATCTTGGACAGGTGACGACCCTAATTTAAAACTGCTCGGCTCTGAATCCGATGTGAATCTAATTGAGCCGGTCATGATGCGGTCCAGTTAGAGATGAACGAGGCTGCTGGACTTCCCCCGCTCTCCGTGTAAAACTACACGGGGAAAGAAAAAAAAACCACACACAGAGCGTTTCACGCGGGGCGAAAGACCGTCTTCTGGCGGGGGGGGGGGGGGTGTGCAGGGGGGGGTGGGGGGGGGGGAGCAAACCAAGCAACCTGAAACGACATTCACTCTTAAAGGCCCCCCCCAACACCGCTCTCACCCGGCCTTCGAGCGACACTGAACCACAGCGTCAGGGTTGACTGTCCTTTATGTCCGTGCAAATGTTGTACGTGTTACAGGTCGCATCATCATCATCATCATATTGCATTATTATGATAACAGCAAAATGACTTATGGTATCTAAATCTGTCTATCTGTCTGAGGGTTCCCCCCCCCCCCGCCCCCCCCCGAAATAGACTCGGCCTTAAATGAGTACCTGGCACAATGTGTGAAACATATCGTTGCTTGGGAGCCACACCATCCTGCACCATCCTGTGCTGTTCCGGCCTTAATATGCGCTCGCTAGCAGCACTTGCCCCAACAGTCTGTATGCCTATGCTAGCATCTTTGCATTGACGTGTGCGCGCGCGTGTGTGTGTGTTATGGTGGTGTAGCGGTTAGCGCGATCCGCTCCGCTACGAATCCCGCGGCCCGAGTTTAATTCCCGCTCACGGCCACCAGTCCTCGGCCTCCCCTAGGTCGACTTAGCCTCAAATCAGTACCTAGTGCGGTGTGTAAACACCGCCGCTATGGAGACAAAAGGCGTGGTGCTGGCCACCCAACCCCTCGTGTGCCGTGCCGGCCTTCACAGGTGCTGCTCGCTAGCAGCCCTTGCCCCAACAGTCTGTTAAGGCTACACGGGGGATTCTTTGTCTAGTTTTTTTTGTGTCAGGGTCACAGCCTGAGAGCCGGTAAAGAGGGACGCCAGGAATGGCTCCTTTATAACTGACGGGCGGTGGGTGATTGTGCGCGGGCTCTTTTTTGTCTGTGCGGTCTCCACTACACAAGCCCCGCAGTGTAAGCAAAGATGTACAGAGCTGATGCCCTTCCCCTTTTTTTCTGAATGGCAAGTGGCAGCACCAGATACGGCGGCCTGCGGACCAGAAGCCCCCCCCCCCCACCGTTGTGTTGAGATTTCCAATGGGGAGGGGGGAGGGGGGGCTGGGAGGGGGTATTGCGGTGTGGGCTAGCAAAAGAAGAGATTTAGAACATGGCGACAGATAAAATGTTTTTTTTTTTACGGTCATGCGATTTGTTGTGGAACGTTTTTGGCCCCCCCCGCGCCCCCCTTCTCAAAATCGTGTCTATTCTTAGCGCTCCGCAAACGCGGCTCTTTCAACCGTGGCCCCCAGCCAACCCGCGAGCCACAGAATGCCGTGCTGCGCGCCCGCCGCTACTGAATGAAAATATCCAATCTGCGTGCTATTTTAAAGCCGGGCCCGAAATGAAAGGGCGCACTCAAATGTGATATCTTGGCGCGCACATCTGACGGGATTAATTGGAGTTTCGTGCCCGTGCACCCGCTGAACTTATTTTTCAGGGAAGTAATTAGGCGTTGCTTTGTTCGATAATTAAAATGTTTGTTTACCCTTTCGTCTCCGTTATTTTTTGTTGCCACAACGGCGAGCGGCTTTCTTGTGGAGGGTTACAGAAAGTCATTGTGGGACTTCCAAAAGTGAACGGAGCGTGACGCTCGCGCTCTGCTGTAACCACGTCTCATCACACAATGCATGTGAACAAGAAGCAACTTCCATCACCAACTACCAACCAACCACGTAGCTACCCTCCCAACTTCCTGCCTGTTTACCCGCTGACCTAATTCCCTCACTACCCTGCTATCTTAACCCGGCCTAATAACACACTTCCCCACCTACATGCCCAACCATCCACCTACCTACCTACCAACATTCCTACCTACCAACATTTATTCGTACTGACATTACTACCTACATACGCACACACCCACTTAATCATCTACCGAACCAACCAGCCACCTACCGAGCCTACCTGGCTAACCCGCTAACCGTTCTACCTCCATACCTCCCCAGCCACCCACCCACCTACCACACACTGCCCACCGACTGTCTACCTGCCCTCCAACCAACGTACGTTCAACTCTAAATAACCGCACGTCTTTTGGCAGCGCACAGTTTTTCTGCAGCACTGCTTCAAGATGGGCAAACATCGGTTAACGTCGTTGCGTTTGTGCTTCTTTGGCTTAATATACCTGTTTCCGTTTTCCCCTTTCGCAGGAGGATTCAGACATTGAAATCGGAAGAAGAAAAAATGGCATTCCTCTTTTGTTTTGCAAGTTCCTCTTTTGTTATGGAAGCAACTGGAAGGAAGAGGAGGAGGAGGAGGAAGAAGAGGACACTGAGAGGAGGTGACCTCGGAGAGGAGGAAGAGTGATCGCTGTTTTGTGAAGTGAAGAGGACGTGGGAGAACGAGGTGGGGCGGGGAGAAGTCCTGCACTGCTGTTGGGGCCGGCGGTGAGAACCCTGGGCCCTGGGAGCGGGAGCCACGCGAGGAGGGAGTAGAACGCGTTTCTGATCTTCGCCAGTAGAGTGGCGAAAAGGGGGTTTTGGGTTTTTATTTTATTTTGTAACGAATTTTTTTTTTTTAACGGACAATCACTAAAACAGCGAATGCTTTGCATTAGCATGGTTGGCTACGTACGATGCAAAAAGAAGTTCAGCGTACACTGAGCAGAGACGTATAAAAGTGCACGGACGTTGTACAGCCTGCTTGAGTTAAAAACCACAGTGGCTACAAAGAAGAAACTTACCAAAAATAAATGGAAGATGATGCAAATAAAAACCCGGAAAGACCGAGCCCCTTTTTCATCGTCGTAAAGTGAAGCACAGTTGTTTGGGGTTTTTTCTTTCCCCCCCCGGATGTAAATTAACGAATGATAAAGCCATGTCTACCTTAACAACGAGCCTTAATATCCAGATCCTTAATTGTGCACTAATGTCAGGCGCAAAACGTTATCGACGTTTATTTGAACCTCGTGTGCGTGCGTAATTCCCCAGATAAGGAGGTTTGTTTTCATTCCCTAAAGAAAAATACAGCGAAACCTTGGATTGCGAGTAACTTATTCTGCGAGTGTTTTTCAAGACGAGCAAAATGTTTAAATAAATATTAATTTGATGAACGAGCGAGGGTCTTGCAATACGAGCAGCACGTATAGACGCTTTGTATGCCGAGCCTCACGTGATCACAACTGATATACGAGCGCTTTGAATTACAAACACGTTTCCGGAACGTATTATGCTCGCAATCCACGGTTTTACTGTAATAACGTTCAATTAACTGACCAATTGGCCTTTCAGACGAGTGCCTTTACAATTGATTCAACCAACCAACCTCTCACAATGGCTCACGCAACAAACATCGAGCTGGTCCCCCCCCCCGGCGCTGCTTTTAGACAGTCCACAATTCACTGACGAATCTCACTCAAGGCAAACCCCCGTTCAAAGTTGCACTCTTAAATTTTTTTTTTTTTAACCGACGGGAAGAGGAGCAGCCACGCAATTTCTTGCTGGCACCCACCGTTGGCAGAAAGGAAGCTTCCAGAGAGAGCCTTCCCCCCCCCCCCCCCCAGAGAGAGAGCAGTGGTTCCCAACCACTCTGCATCGTAGCATATGCAGCAGTTCCCGTGGACCGCTTCCCACGGCCTCTGCATTCGTTGAGGGCAGGTTGGGAACCGCTGCTGTCGAGGGGTATTTGGCCCTGCTCTTCCACGCTGGCCAAAGATGCCTTGGAACTGCTGGGAGTTTCCCGACACGTTACCCAACGCGACCCTCCTGGTTCACGGACTCGGGGGTCGGCAAACCAAGATAACAAGGAGAGGCACTTTTTGTTCGAATTCGGCGAAGCAAAAATCTTTATTTTTAATCCACGCGGTGAATGCGAGACTGTGGTCCTTAATAAATAACGCCACGAAGCAGGTCCTTAAAATAGCCGCGTGCATGCGGCTCCGGCGGCCGCCCCCTGGACTCACCGGTGTGAACCGATTTTATTCCACTGGGTGGACGAGAAGCGGTCAGATTTAAGAAACTTGCCCCCGTCGTTTGAACCTCGCGACCTCCGGATTCCAAGCCTCGGTGCGTTGGCCGTCGCACGCCCGCGGGCAGCAGCATCCAGGTTGGTTGTGACTGCAGGAATCCATACGCTAAGAATATTCTTTGGTTCTTTCGGTAAAGTCACGTAGTAGGTATAAAATAAAATAAATCACGACGTTTCGGGTGCAACACAAGCGTCCGTCATCAGGTGGGAAAGCGTGGTCTGCTGCTGAGGCAGACTGTTTTAAAGTCGCCTACGTGACTTTATCGAAAGAACCAAATAGTATGTTTATTTTTTTGTTTGGCAATGAAACAAACCTCCCCCCCGCTCCCAACCCCCCACCTTGCCTGTCCATTTCCGTCGTTTGCGATTGGTTCTAATTGTTCTCGTTTTATATAGAGCAGCGGACGATCGAGAGAGGTCAGGGTTCGCCGCCTTTAACAGGAAGCCGAGTCCGACGTCGCCGGCGGGAATGGTCGGCCTTAAATCCTCGCCCCCCTTCAGCCTCATCTCGCCGTTTTTTTACCTCCCGAAAGTAACCCCCCCCCCCCCTCACTGCCACTTTGCCTTGGACCCCCTCCTGTGGCCCGGTCGATAATTTCATTCTGTTGCTGAACACGAGGTGCGTCTTGCGAGCCACGGGCAGAGGGAGAGCGAGCGAGAGCGGCGCTCGCGTCTACTGCGAGCGTTGTTCCCGTCGACGCTTTGTCGGCCGCGCGACGTCGCAAATCGCGAGAAGCGATTCCGACCGAGAGGTGGTTTTTAGCCCTCGGATCCGTTTCCTCCGCCTCCCCCCCCCCCCCACCCTCCCTGCCCGCCCGAAGTCGCTCTGCGTGATGTCCGACGTTTCGCTACGCGCGCCGGCGAGCTTCTTCAGGAGCCGATTGAAGACGTTGAAGTAGACGTCGATGCGCGAGCCCCACTCCCCCCCACAAACGCCTCCGAGAGAGCCACGGTGTTCTTCCCCCCGCACCTCCGATTGGCACCGTTGGTGTCTGCGCACGGTGCGGAAGGGTAAGCGCGACGTACGTGCAGTGCCGGCGCGGGAAGCCTAGCCAACCGTGCAATTATATAGACTGCGTACGAAATGCGAACATGTGAGAAGACTTAAAAACAAAACAACGTAATCGCTATTGAACGATAACATTAAAGAGACGCCCAACTTTCCATTCGCGTTTTTTGAACAACCGTTGCACGGAAAAAAAACAAGTAGCATCAATTTAATTTCTCTCATTTCTCACCTGGAATTTTAGAGCTTCCCAAGAAGTTCGCCGAAGCCTCACGCGCTTTTGCTCGAGAAGTGGTACACACAATCGGAGTTTCTGTCTCTGCCCGCGTGTAAACGCATCCCGTTTTTCTCACCGTTTAGATTTCCTTCCACGCATCTCCGATTAGCAAGGTCGGCTACGTACGGTGCGAAAGAAGTTCAACGTACGTGCGTGCGTGCGTGCGTTTCCAAAGAAATGTCACGAGGTTTCCTTTTAGGATGTCGTTGAAGAACTTCAGGATTGAAAAGTGATTTCCAAATGTGCACATTCTCTCTCTCTCTTAAACGAAAAAACATCACTACGACAATATTATTAGTATACACTTCAAAGAAAGCAGCATGAGTCTCTGTTGGCAAAATTCATTTTCTTCAACTAACTCTTAAAAGTGCCTTTTAAAGAAAGTGAGCTTACTGGTAAAAAAAAAAACAACAACAACAAATGGATGTAAAACTTTGCTTCCGTTAAAATGTCCTTTCGAATAACAGGGACGACCTGGGCATGCGCTGATATAAATAACCGTCGCGTAACATTTGCGCTATAAATGTAATCGCCGCGTTTATTTTCCGTCGCCGCGCGTACGCACTTGACAAAATATTCTACCGTGCGTTTGCCCTCCGTAGCACAAAAAAAAAAAAATACTTTAATGGAAGGGGGATCGTTGTTACAAAATAAGAAAGGGGAATATTCTTCACGTCGCCGTCTCAGGAATCGACAAAAACTCCGCAGGAAAACGCCGTCCGTCGAGGAGGTCGCGCGGCAGAGGCCTTACCGATGCGTCGCGTGAAGATGTCTTTCGCCTCCCGTCACTGAATCGTGCGCACGCGGCTCAAGTTGGTCGCTTGCTCCAACGTTGGCAGGCGTCGTTCTCCTCCGATTCAGCCTCTCCCAACGGTTTCCGAAAGACAATGTCGGCGTTTGTCGCGCGATGTTATTACGTGCAACCAAATTTAAACATTGATTAGGTCCTCAGTTTTACTTCGCCTTACTCGAAACTTTTGTCCACCTCCGCTGGGTTGTGAGAACGAGCACGTGTCCGGCGATATTTTATTTAAACTAGGACGAGGAGGGGCCTATGTTCAGGATGTGTGTGAAATTTTCCACAAATATTCAACCAAAGCCCATGTTAGAGTAAACGTTGTAATATAGGATATCCCCCCCCCACCCCCCAAGATTTTATGTGCAAAGCATGGCATTAGTAGTGTATATATTTTGTTACTTTAATTACAACGAACCACTTTATTTTCCCTCAAGCGTGTCCGTGTTGCTTCACAGACACACACACAGCCACTAGCTCCCACTATCTCCGAAGCCACTACGTGTATACCACAGGACCGGTCGCTGGTATTCTGCTGTCTCGAGGGGGCAAGATGATGTTTGTTCCTCTTGCGTTGACTCGGCGATGGTAATGTTCAACCGCTGTGTTCTGGCGCAACCGATTTAAAAAAAAAACAACACAAATATTTGCTGCATTAGGGTTTTTTTTTTAGCTATCTCTGAATACTATTAGAACGTCTGCCACTCCCGCCAATATAACTACAGTATATACGTCCAAATAGCATACTATTTGGAAATACATTACATTTTCAGTCGTGTTTGTTAAAGTAAAATAATCGATTGTATGGCATTTCTCAAGGGACTTACACGAGTAGTAATAGGTTTTTACCCTTTTATCTGGCACCAAAACTGACACCTTTATACAGGGGATCATGTTTGCAATAACCACAACACAAGCAGTCAAAATGCAAACAAAAATAGACAACTCTGATAATGATATGCACTGTCCTTGAAATTGATTGGTCCACACCCGAGACGGCTTTTCTTAGAGCCAAGTCTCCACTGGTGTTGGACCAGAAGACGCCAAAAGGCGTACAACTCAAGGACTTACACGAATTAAGCAAAATTTATATTGAAAACAAAGTTCATCTGTCGAGTTTTTCCGCCCCCCCCCCCCCTCTACCGCATGGAGTTTTTCTCCGGGCACTGTGATTTCCTCCCTAAATGTAGGCGTTCATTCATTGGCCGACATCACCGTCGTGTATAGAGGACACCAGAACTTGGGCAATTGTTGGTGGTGCCAGCTTCTCACCGCCGCGTGGCTGCTGCTGCCTTCTTGCTTGTCCGCGGTTTCCCGTGCCTCCCAAGTAAAAAAATGAATAAAACTAAAACTCTTTTATTTTTGCCAGGTAAGGCCCCCACTGAGCTATTTGGCTCTCATTTTCAGCGGCGACCCGGCCGCAAATGGTAGCTCAACGAAGTGGCTCATCATGTCGAAATGTATAGCAGCCAAATACTCTAATCGCACGTTGATTCTAAATGTGGGGGGGGGAACAGGAGGCCCGGAGAAAATCCACGTGACCACGGGGAGAGAGACACGCAAACTCCAAATATACAGGTGTCAGGGTCGGGATCGGACTCACGAACTGCTGTATACCAGGCGAGGTAGTTAACATCTCGCCACCGCGGCGACCTTCCGAGTTTTCCTTCCTCGAGAGTGATTGAATACCGTGCCGTGCTATACAAGTTGATGTTACAGTTGTAAAATTATAACGTTGGCGTTTTTGCATTTCATAATAAAAGGTTTTTGGGTTAGATCGCGTTAGATAAATGTGTCGTAACCCTTCACCACCCGACACAGCCAAAAATCTTTATTATTAATGATATTGGTCGCGAAAGCCTACGCGTTTTCGCATTTCACTTAAAATACAAATGCTGCACTCCCCAACTCGCGCTGTTCGATAGTTTCGTTTGATGATGTTGAAAGGATTTTGATCACCAAAAAAAAAAAACCTTTTATTGCCTCACCAAGTCTGCCCTTACTTAGGGGTCCCTTCAGGTTAACGATAGGAGTTTTAGGAATGTTCTTGAACTCACGGGGAGGAATTCTGCGACTGAAAAGCCGATGTCACAGCTATCACCATTGGTGAAGCAGCTATTTAATTCTCGAGGACATACATGGAGTGACTATTAAAAAACACTCTTTCGGACGTAAAACTTGCATAAAGCACCGTAATTGCATGCAGACCCTTGTGACAAGAGAGTGATCTCCTTTGTCGATTCAAGCCCTTGCAGGGTGAAGTTAAAGGCGCAGCCCTGCATTGTGCCGCTCACGCCCACTGCGTCCCGGAAGGGGGGGCCTCCACTAGGGGGGGCCTCTAC